GTTTGCTTACATCCTTGTTCGGTCTCGTGGCTTGTATCAGACGATCCTTCACGTGCTCCTCTGCGTACTTTATGGATTCTGAGAACTACAACAGAGATGCAGGTAATGATGATGGTCATTTCTTTCCTATTATTTCGAGGTGATAAAAAATGACTGTAGTAAGCAATTATGTACTCCAATATTACAGAGAGCAGTTATTGGCTCCTCTTCTAACCAAGCCATCACATTGACACTAAATGCACTTCATTCCTGATCATTACTTCTGGAAGGCCATTCCACCTTTCGCTGAAATGGTTGTCCACGTGCCCACTTATTAGATGGGGGAAAAAAACCACAGGCAACGATACGACACTATGTTTACTTAAATAGAATCAGCATTCTGCAAGGTTATTATAAGCAAACTTATGGAAAATTATGCTGCTTACCTATTAAATTCGAGGTAATGTTGATGGGCACAAATCTTAATAATAATAATGCTGGCCAAAAATGGGATCTCTTACCAGACCCTTGAAGATATGGGTAGTCTTGGTTACATAATACCTTAGAAAGGTGGAGCAGCCTCAAAGAGGCAATAAATTTACCTACTTACATAAATCACATTAAAGAAGTCATCGTCTGTGAGGGTGTTCAGCAATTCGGAGATGGTGGCATTACAAATTGTATTTCGACGTCCCTTCATGCTGCCACTTTTGTCCGCGAGGATGATCATCTCTACTGGGTAAGAGGCTGCTCCAACGTACCTTTTCAGCGGAAGCAAATATTGTTAATAAGAAGAAGAGGTTATTATGAGAGACTTGCTTAGCGAGACTTCAGTCAGCTTTACCAGGCAGTGGAACGACAATCGAAAAAGTCCAGTTTTAAGTCGGCGAGCTGAACCTCCCACATAGCACCTACAGTAGAACAGGTAGGAAATGTAGCTTGCACCCAAAGAGGCGGACGATAGAATATAGAAACAGAGCTACCAGGATAGAACTTGAAGAAACCAGTAGAGCTGCAAAAGTATTGCCACTTTAGAAGTGGGTCGTCTTCAATATTCTTCTTGAACACCTCGTCCAGGTGGTGCGTCCAGTTGCCCACCGTTCGAATCTCTTTTGCTAAATGTTCACATAAAGGAAAAGTCAACCAGGTGCTCTCGTGAGGAGTCCACCAAGCAAAAAAACACCGAATCCGTGATTATAAAGTATCAAATTTTACTGCATTCGGCATTTGATGTCGGGAGTCTTCGAATTTCCCTTTGACTACTTTCCGTTATTATAATTGCTCAGAATCATCAATAAATTGCAGATTTGTACAATTCTTAACGTCACTCTCATAAGTGAATCCAAAAAGACAGCAAAGAAGATATGGAAGTGTTGGCTAGACGTCCGACATGTTCACGACAAATGAACTCATGGACTATCTAGTCACGATTTGCAGTTTAAAATCGAGTCAGACACGTGAAGAAAGAGAGTTGGCATCGCAGAGTAGTGGAGGCAAATACACGTCAAACCACTTGACCATACCACTTAGAATAAACTGATGAGTTTGACAAGAATAAAGGAGTATCATTGAGTTTGACATGGATTAAATGAGTGCCAAAATAGTCGGGACCTTCGAAAGGTCGACAGATCAACGTGGAATCATGAAACAGACCACTGTAATTTTCAATAGAAGGACACCAGCGCTCGATTACGCGTCGGTAATGGAGCCAACATCATCCAAACTACAGGTGAAAATCGGTCTTTCTCCAACCTTGTATAAGGCGATTGTCACTTCGTACCTACCTTCTTTCTCGTAGTAGGCATTCACTTTAGCTCAACGAATTGTTACAGTAATCCCTTTGCTATCAAATCGCCTCCCTTCCACCCTTGAGGCCTATTCGCTAACGTCTTTTACTGAATGCACCTTCTTAGAGGCGGTGAAAATGTCCTCCCAATCGGTTTGAAAGCCTAGTTTGATTAATTCCATGACTTTGTCCCTTAAGATGGACGGGAAGTAATTTGTAATGTGAGATCGAGAATCCACTAAACCAATAAACACAATTCATAAACTTTGCATCTAGCTGACTGAAGAATGTATGAGCACGTGCAGAGGTCGTAGACATTTGTGGGGACGTGGGCAGCAGAGATATTCCGGCTGACGTAGATATTCCCAAAAAGTGGATCAGCCTCCAGAGGTAGGTACTGCGACTCGTTGCAGGGAACAACATTGGTCCCGTTCTCGTCCATGGGATAGGGGAATAGGCTAACCGACTTGGCACGGATGTAGCACTAAGGGGTAGGGGAAAAGCAAATGATGAACCAGGCTAACTAAAGTGGATCAAAAGTTGTGCTATTTCTGCGCACCTCGTCGTATTCCAGCGGCTCTTGTCTCTTGTACTCATCCTCGATGCTGTCACGAAGTTTCTGTAAAAGTAAATTAGGGTTCCTGAGTAAAGTTACTGAAATATTGTCCCTTCTCAATTGTCAGATTCAAATATGCTTACTCCTCATCAGAGTGACGCTTTCAATGAATCTCTTTACGGAAACACGTGGCCAAGGAGACCTAGTTTCTGCTTCCTTTTGAACAGGAATTATGCATTTCATGGAAGATATAACTTTTCAGGGAACAATTCCAAAGCAATACAAATTGGTTTCTTAGTGAAACTTGCATAGTCTTCCAGAGGTGACCAGCTACATTTTCAGGCATCCAACTTATTCAAAATTGACTTGACTTCCACGTACATTTTCACGTACAATATCCCTTGATTTAGTGTAAATAGAGTAGAATACTTAATCTCACTCGTAATATAATCTAAAAATAATCCACAAATTTATTGTCGTTTCAAAAGAAATGCTTAAGAAGCTGTTGACTTCTCAATGAAGGGTGAAGTGGAGCTCAAAGGCTACAATTTATGGTTAAAGGTTTCTAAGATGAAAGAAATTGTTCACTAAATGAATTTAACGTCACAAAATTAAGGAAAAAGGCGCAAATCCAGAATGTAAAGTAAAACGTTAAACCACCTCAAGAGCCTTTTCTTTCTTGCGAATCATTTGAGATAGCTCTACAATAGCGTCGTCGATCAGTTTGCGAGCGTAGGTGTCTGTCATCTCCTGCACGCCGAAGGTACTTCCATTGTACATCTACAGCGAAGCAACACAAAAAAACACCTCTAAACATTGCGAATTTTCCTTCTTTTTAAAGAACGGTAACTCACTCTACTCAAATACTCCGTTGCCATGACTTCTCGAAGCGGAATAAGCGACTGATAAAGCTGTTGAGACCATCTGCTTACTCTACATGTTGAAATGAGTTCGTATTACCGTTTCTGCAAAATTTTAACTTACGTCCTCTCAAGCACATCGGAACATTGAACAGAATGAGTTTTGAAGGCGATGAGAGATGCGGTTAAAACAAGGAAGTAAGCAGAGGAGCAGGTCATTGAGGTGAGAGGAGGAGTTACGTGAGCGGGTATCTGATAGTCTGCCTGCACGAGTGAGTCGCCCTCCGGAATCTACCAGCGCATATTCGCAGTAGCCATCGACCATCCCGCCGGACCAATCATTGCAGGAACAGTAGGCAGATAGCTGGGAGTTGCTTCAACCAATCGCAGCGTCGCGATTTCCACCACTTTTTAGGGATATATATGCCTGGAAGTGTGAGCGCGTGGACTAAAGGTGGGGTTCGGGTGGTAAGAGGTGATTGGCACTACGGAGACCCTGAACTAGTCTTGGGTTTGAAAGATATTGGAGTGTAGGGCATTGTATCACTCTCATCAAATCCTGATTATGCCCAGTAGTTTTGGCCCTGTCTGTAGTTTAAATGAGTGCAAATGTCTCAAACGTTCTCCATTCTTGGATTATTAAAGAAATTTTTGAACGATCTGAAGGGCATTGTTGGGTTCAGTCCATATGAGATGGTCCGCTGGTATCTTTTAATTCGTCTTGATTTCCGAATGACAGCTTTTAAGACTGATTACTATGTAATATTAGGACATTACGAAGTGATTTGTCTTCTAGGGTATTCCGCGAATTAGGATGTACTATTATTACATACATCAAGCAGTTTAAAGAATAGTCGATCTGCAAGATGGGCATATTTCCGGTAGGATGTCATGGGACCAGATGATGATTACATTTTTGCGATTTAGCAGATTTATTCAGGTCTATAAATGTCCATATATTTTGCATGATATTTGAGTGAACCACACGGACTGGATTTAACCATTCATGGATTCAGTCTTTCAGTTCTATAGGACCTGTCAGAGTTAGCAGACACTACAGCAATATAAAAACAGGTAATTATGAGATGCCCTTATTTCAATGTTGACGACATCACTCAGAAAGCTTTTATCGATACAAGGATTGCTTTACTTGCCTGTTTAACAAATTATGGTAAAAGCTCCACGCTAGCGGCATGGAGCTCTGCTCAAATTGCCCGTACGGCCTGACCTTTGCCCCTTTATGCGTCAGTAATAAACCTATCTTAAGGCTCATGGATCATTTGGCCTTTTCAGGGACAACGCAAGTTCCACAAATGAGCATGAGAGTCCCTCAGTGTGAGTGCTGTCTAAAATGAACACACCTCGTCATACCTCTTTGCATTACCTTTTGCCTTTTGCCTTTTTACCTTTTACCTTATTTGGTAAAACTACTGGATTTTATCCATTGACGTTATGTTTTACAGTGAAACAGGTCACCATCATCGGCTGCCGACCGACTAATTTTTGTTTCCAATCTCCACCGCTTGGATTTAAATTGACAGGGAATTCCTAACTTTTGATATAAAAAGTAGGTGCTACAACTCCAACAGCATTAACACAAGGATAACAGAAATGGAAAATATGAGGTAAGACAAAGTTTATTTTTATTTGTAATAGTGCAAGAGGGTCGTGTTAGAGCACAAGCATGAAGGTGACACATCGCAGGATCTGGATGAAAGCGATTAGGAGGACGGCGCAGGCAGCAGCGAATGCCTGCAATTTCATCAAGTCTGGGTTCGAGGTATCAAAGAGGCTGCTGAAGGAGAAGGGCTTTTCCTCCACCCCTATTTCCGTGTAGTTCTCCTCTAGCAGAATTGTCATCGGACAGTCCTTGCCCAGTCTTGGTGGACACGTCTCGACCTCAGTAGGGAGAAGATGAAGTTGAAAAGATTTGATGTATTCAGACTATTGGAGGGCTGCCTCTAAATTAATTTCGTGGTCAGTTATATTTCAGCAGGAATATCTGGTACGCATCTCATTTCCCACTTTTATGCTGACCATTGCGGCAAAAATGCGCGAAAGGTATTAATAATAGCTGTTTCAAATAATCTTACGCTTGTAACCGCCTCCGCATGAGATATCCGCAGGCTGTACCTTCACTCGCTGCATTCTGTAACATCGCACTAATACGATGATATTTTTTTCTAATTGTCTAACCAGCTGCGGGGGTCATCTCAATCTCCCGTGATTTAAACTTCAAACCAAATCGGTACTACAGCGCTTATACATGTCACCTGGACTGCAGGCCGCCCACCCATTATGTATGCTGGAAAGACGGCTAGTCTCAGAATCACGAGGGCTATGATTTTCATAAAGTTAACTGGGGCTCCTAGCTCCACTAAATTAAACTGTATAATTTCAATGCTCTAATTGTTAGCTTAACTCTTCATTTTGGTTTCACAAGCACTTAAGGTGCGGCCTTTATACTTCCACTAAGCGGCACGGCCTCTGAGCCACCCTGGTAGCTCCAATATCCTCTGCATGCCTTGGGTATATATTATGCCCCTATTATTATGTCTTCTTTGCTCTAAAAGGAGAGACGCAGGGCAGATGAAAGCAAACTTACTTCGAAAAAACAACTACTGTGATTTCTATAACTGAATACTAAACCTCATCGTGATGAAAGAAAGGTATATGGTACGGCTAGGAATATCTGTAAAAACCCCTCATCAGATGGGCTAAAGATGACATCCACCTTCACCAAACACCCCATTCCTCTGTCCTGCATGAATGCAATTAACAAATGAAGCGACATTGGTCGTAAACCATCTGAAAAGTTTGTCGTGGAGCTGTCTGCTGTACCTGTAAACAAATATTATTTGAACAGAAGACATCTCCTCAACCACTCTGCTGGCTGGCTAGAACCCATATAGGTATACGTTTTGGCAGCACTGAAGTGAGAACAAAGTGGCAAGGAGGGACAGACGCAAAATCAGCAATCTCGGCGACGCAAAAAAATTTTGGTAACCATTTATAAGCTAATAACTCCCTCTGTTTACAAACAAAATCGTGCTTTTCATGCAAAAAAACTTTCCGTATGGAGGTTTTGGCTATTTTAATGAAAAGTATTAAGTCATCTTGCCTTAGTCGATTTCCTGTTTGCCTGACAGCTGTGCGTTGTTAAATTTGATAGCTTCAGACATTTTACCGTATTGATAAGTACTTTGTGAAATGCTCCAGTATATTTCTTCCTCTAAGCACATTAAGAAGATATCGCCTTCACCGTAATGGGAGGCCGGTGATGGAAATTTTACTTCTACCCAACGATTTGCAAATTATTTACTTTAATCAAAACTAAAACCATGTCACTCAGCTCTGAATAAACGATAGTTTAAGTACGAAGATGTACCTGGCCTATGGTTTCTGATGGGCTGTTTTCCTCCTGCGGAATCAGGATCCTCGTTCTTCTGCGAGTACGAAATCGTCCACAAGTCGGTTTGCATGACGACCACACACTCCACTCTTCCACCTGCAACACACCAAGCAGAGCGAATTTGGCAACAACCACCACATTACCCCTGTGTTCAACTATGGTAAATTTTGGCCTTGACTCATTGCGATTGGTGACGCCATTTTGGATTTTAAGATCATGTAGCTGTTTAATACTTGCCATATACTCTCACTTGGAATGCCACGATCAAGGGAAAAGGTCAAACTTCTAGGACTAGAAAACGATGCTAAACTCTACACTATTAATTCTTATATCTAATTGTATTTCTCCCAGTTGTTCCTTCTGGTTTATTACCCAACCTTGAATACACTAGCTTAATTCCATCCTAATTTTTTAGGTGATGATGCACTTTTTTTTGTATTTTATCGAATAGAAAAGGAGGAGTTGATCCGAATGAGGAGCATTTTTCCCAAATCACCTTTTGCCTCGTCTTTAAAAAGAAATAAGTAAAAAATGCATAATTTAGCGGGAATTTGCATTTAATTGCAGGCCCATCTTTGCTAGCATTGAAGTAACTTGATTGTTGAAACCCATGATTGCTGGAATATTTAATGGATGCCTGGTCCTGTTCAGTTTGCTCGGAGTTTCCACCTATGTGGCTAATTGTCAAAATTTCTAGAAATTGCGCTCTTGTCTACTTTCTACTGATTGGCTGATTGCCACGATAGCTATACTTTGATTGCGTTAATGACCATTCTAAAAGGTCAATAGGTTACCACCAGGACGATCGAGTGGTCTAGTTTCAGGATCCTAAACTGGCTCGCCGTCAGTTTTTTTACTCGTACATTGTACCTCTGCGCTTAACCACGGCTGTCTATTAAAAAAGAAATCTGCTCTGAGGCTTGTGCGGTTGGAAGTTCGGTAGGATCCACACCACGCCTACGTAGGAGGGAAGGCCTCTACCTAACAAGCGGCGACTCGGTTCGCATCATTTTTCGACACAATTTGTAACAAATGGTGATGCAGGTTATAATGCGGATGAGTTCAGGTTTTGAAACAGTCTTAAATTAAGTGAAATCAAGGCTGACACAATCCTAAAAAAATTGTTTGAACAGAGAAGGATTTGCCATTACTTCCTTAAAATATTAAATTTGGATTGTGGAGAATATAGATGTTAAAGCCCGACCGCTACGCCAGCGCTAGCTCCATTCTTAAATTAAGCTCTGCGGCAGAGGCCAGAATAAAACATAATTGTTCCTGTTTACTAGGATAAATCAGGAGTCCTTTCAATGCACAACTTTACCTGTGTGGTTTTCAACGTTTACGTCTATTTGACCAAATGACCACCATGTTATTTACACATCTGAACACCATTTATGGTAAATGTATTTTGAGCGTTCTGAAAGAAATTTCATAGCACAACATTCTTTCGAAGTACTTTATTCCTCAAACGAGAGTGGATATATTGGTGAGCCTTACAGAGTGTAAACTTGGCATTAACTGCAGATAATCATAGAGATCTGATACACGGAAGTAAGTCACTGGTAAATGGATGGGGAAAAACGATTCTGATCTCCTTCGTGATAAAGGCTAAAAGTCATACTTGTGAATGGCACTGCGCGGCGGTCTCGCTATGGTAGATGTAGATTTTCTACCTTAAAACACGGTATATCCAACTTGACCTTTGGATAGCGAACATACCGTCTTTCGGGAAAAACCTGTGTGTTTTTAGCAGGTTTCGAAATCCAGAAATACGTTTATCACCTCTTTAAGCATTGTACCTGACAAACTCATGCCCACAGACTGGATTGACTGCCTCTTAAGGAGGCAGACAATTCATAAATCGTGAGGGACCACTAACCTTTTGATTGCAATGCGGTCCCGCGTATCCAGCGTAGCACATGCAGACGGCTACGCCTCGTCGATTAGCGGTGGTCACGCAGGCCCCATGAATACAAAGTTTGGAGTCGCAGGAGCCTACCTGAAGGAGACAATTGGAGGCAGCCAAACTGACGTCTTCCACGAAGGGCCTCTCACACTGGCAGAAGTATGCGTCCGTGCCCAGCTTGGCCACACAACGTGAATGCAGGGGCAACGTGATAGCCTCCACATGGCTTGGACCCTCCTTTGATGGCGTGACGAATTCCTCTTCCTTGTACTCTGGATCCGTGGGCATCCCATCCATGTTTACTTGGCACATGGTCTGGCCGCTCACTAGGCTGTGCAAAGACAAAGTCTGGGATTCACAGCTCTATAAAACAACACTTTGAACACATCATAAAGTTACAAAGAATTTCGCTATAAAAGTTCTGAAGTGTGAACTTATTAATCCTCTCTTGACTCTCAAGTCTTTTGATCCTGGAAGGCTGTGATAGAATTCTTCATCCCTGTTGCGGTAAATTAAGGTCTCCATGATTTGCCTTTAATCAAGTTTTCCTTTTGCAGATTACTACTAATGTTGACCTAGAATTTAAAGTAAGTAGCTTAATTTGGCCTTTTTCTGAGTTTTTAACATGCATTTGCTAATTTTTGCGTCTTCCCGGGCACTAAATCACTTATAGTAGCATCAGCATACCTTGCTTTGTGGTACCAAAGGGAGTCAATCTCGATCTGAGGACCAAACTCTACGATTTAAATAATAACATGGATCACTGCATATTTCCTCATTTTTGGTGGATTACAAGCTGTGAAAATAAAGCTGTGGATTTTGTTAGGCGTTTCAAGAAGAAGAGGAGAACGACTATGCGAAATTTCCTGTACCTTTTAAAAGCCGTGCTCATCTACCGGGTAGCTCAAAGTAGTTCCACATTATTTTTTGAGGTCTGCGATGAAGTCTGCCAACTAAAAATTTGAAGAGTAAAGCCTGGAAATGACGAACTATTTATGGGAAGATGGAAAGTCGCAGTGTTGTCGGATCAGTGTTTGGGTCAAGTGAAGTGAAAATTATTTGAGGAACGCGGTATTGGGTTGCAAACATCTATCACCAATGAATTGGGCAATTTCTAGTAAAATTTTATAAAAAGCCCTCAGAACAGCTCTACCAAATCCCCTTACATTTACATTAAAGTAGGCTATGTGTGAAGAATGAGGAATGCAATATCTCTTAAATAATTTTATTTCAGGCGAAAAGAGATCTGCATACGTCCAGTCTCGTCACTGAGCGGTTGCCACTGACCCCTGAGGAGAAAACGAACTCTGAATGCCTATAATTTTAGTATCTTGTGCACGTTTATGGTACTTATCAGAGAAAAGATGCCCCGTTCCTCTAACCAATCTGCTCCTTTCGAGGGCGAGAAAGTGGGAGGGAAAGAGGGCAACGCTGAACCCGCTTTTATTGGCATAGGTCCAACGGAAATCTTAGGACTGGAGATTTGGAGCGAAGGAGCAAACGAGGGAATGCTCACCTTAGGCATTAAATCCCAGATTTTGAGATACTTCTTGCATTTCAGCTTTATAATTCAGTGTGCAGATGAAAACAGCACTCGTGAGCGTCCCCTTGCATTTCAGTAAATTCCGAGCTTTAGATGCAAATCTATCTACTTCATGCAGAATTTCGAGCTATATGTCAGAAAAGGAGGCGAAACTCCTGTACTATTTAGGTTTTCCCCAATTAATGGGCTATGGAGCACTTTTCACGAAATGCATTTCTGGGTAGTCTCGGTGGCTCCTGGAACTAATCATTTAGGAATGGCATATGTGTAAACTATCAATAAAGGCGCAGAATTTATTTCATTTGTTTATAGCGCTTTAATTATTTGCTTAACTCTTGGATTTCGTAACAGACCACTTAGAAGCTCCACCGTTGTATTTCCACTAGGCGGCCTGACCTTCAGACCACTCCAGTAGCCCTACATCCTTTCCATACTTCATCGATGCATATTCTACCCTGGTATTTTGTCTTCTGTCGACCTCAGGGAAGTTTTGGGGCTACGTATTGGTGACAGCGGAAAGCAAACCCAATCTTAAAGGATAAGTACTCTAATTTCCATCTCTGAATACTAAGCCTTAGTGTGACGGAAGAAGGGTGTATGTTGCGGATGGGAGAATCTGTGACGACCACTAACACGAGGGTCCCGTGTTCTTCAGAAATGGGACGCTAATTACATCGGTGAAACATCTGGAACATTTCGTCAACCTCGATCCCTCCACTTGCTGGATAGAACCCGGATAGATATGGCTGAGCAGCACTGAAGTGAAAATAGAATGGCAAAGAGAAACAGACGCAAAACCTAATCTCCACTAAATTATGTTAAGTCTCGCCCTTTAATAAATGACTCTGCTTTTGGGTCAGTGTTCATACGACTAGCGATAGATATACGTGATGGCCAGCAAATTCTTTTTCCCCCAATACAGTTCCTAAACAGAACGAATCTCTAAATCCAGTGAAATATTCAAAGGGGATTTACTGCGCATTCGCTGATCAACATGGTGTCTGAGCCATAAGAAGCCTTTATTTTATATGACTACTAGTTTTTAAGTCACTTTGATAAGTTTAATTTAATCTGTAAGCTCTGGATGATTTGGCGCAACTAGTGCGAATTTTACAGTTTCAACATTAGTAGAACGATTTTATGGCTATTTCGTAGATGTCAAAAATAAATTAGTTCTCTAGAAAATCTGATTTAACGCTCAAACGGAGGGCGTAGGATAGACTTTCAAACTCCAACTTCGACGTCTTGCAGATAATGGGAAATCTGTTTCAAAATACTAATTGTCAAACATAAAAGATGGTGAAGTAACAATAAGCCAAAAGCGGAAATAATTACACTGGACGTACGTAAGCTGTGTTCCATCACTCAGGGTAGCATTAATGGCCCTTTCAAGGCAGGGATCTCTTAGCCTTTCACAAAAGTTCCCCGAATACTGCGGATGACAAGTGCATATTGCCTCACCAGTGATGCTGAAATAATAAAGGTTGTGTTTAGTTAAATTTGAGAGTCCGGGTGATTAGAAGGCTTAGCTTAATGTCAATGCCTGACTCATAGACGTGTCAAATTAATGCATGGTCCTGCTTATTCGATAATCTTCCCTTGCATCTGATTGGATAATGACTTCATCTACTTTAAATACAAAGTTTACTTTGATTTATTTATAAGGAGGGTACGAACATACTCGTTCATTCTACAAGATTTAGCTCCCGGCCGAAGGCATGGTTTCAGTGTAACAGGATCGCAGTGCTTTTGACGGCCTTCGTCCCTTTCACAACTCATGTCTTCCTGATTCCAGACATAATCCTCCTTGCAGTCGCACTGGTAGCCCTGATTCCTGGTGAGCCAAGAGAAACTGCCTGAGATAAAATCACCATCTAGTGCCTCTTCGGGATTTTCCAGTTGTGCCCACATTCGACCAAGGATGGCCTGCCAAGCTTCCGGTTTCTGTCGTAAAACGTACAGTAAAACTTCTCTATACTAGTCTATCCGCACGGGCTACTGAAAAGGCCTAGTAGGCAGTGGGGATAAATATCCAATTCACCGTATTTACTAGTTGTACTTTTTAAATCAACTCTAGTTTCCCCAGTAACTTTTAAGTTCTCATCAGTCATTTCACAATGCACTACAGTACTTTCTGGCAGTGAACCCGCTCTCACCGGTAGGCATCTTGCAGTACGAGTGTTTGTGGCATTCTCACATGGGTTTCCCAGTTCTCGATGCTGATCATACAAATTTCTTCTACCGAAACAGCCGTCCGGACAGAGGTAGGAGTGTCCCAGGTGGGGTTTCTCACAAAAATATAGGTTAAACACCACAAGAGTATGCCAGTCCCTTATTGTGTGGTTTTCGGTTCTCAAAAAGATCCTATTATCCCACTCGAAGTCTGGAAGTACCACATCTTCACTTATTAGAAAAAACAAGAAAAAAAATGCAAACTTAAGTTCAGTTTTAGAGCTTCTTCCTTGGCAAAAATATTTATCTCATACATTAGCTAAGCAATAGTGACATTACTATAAAGATGATTGACTATGTGGACAAAACATTTTAAATTTCATACAAGTTTCTTAATCAACTATACAACTGATGAACTTATAACTTTTGCATTTTTCTATTGATGAATATGATGATAGTTAGGCTGAAGAGTATATACCTCATATTTTTGAATGGTGATGGCACCTCAGGCCTCCAATAGGGGTTCCACTCATTCCAGTCCTTTTGGATGTTCACCTCGCGAAGAGAGTTCCAGAACAGCTTCCAGGACATATGAACAAATTGGGGTCGCTCGTAGTCATTTACGCAAAGTTCCATAATCATGTCCCACAATAATGCTTCACGTGGCTGCATAAATTTGGTCAAAAAGTGATGCATATTAACAAGAATCGCACGGGAGACAGTCAACTCTCCAGGGTTCATGTTGTCCTGGTATTTTTCTTGTTCCTCATAGAGGCCCTCCAGCAGAGGGCTCAGGTCACCAGAACCCAACTTCTCTTTCGAAGACATTTCGAAGATAGAGGAGAAGGTAGTTGTGGGGGTGTCGATCCTGTGCGAGAGAACATGAAAGTAGTGCTACCTAAATGGACAGTCAGTAGTGTGTAATATGGCCAGAATCTTCTCTCAGAACTAAGGTGAAAATACCCCTTTGGATCTGAAGGGTGCTACTATGGAAATTTACTTAGGAAGTGTAGCCCGATTTTAAGTTTATTAAGCACCCCGTGATGAGAATTGTGGAAATAAGAATAATTGTCCTGATATTCTTAAACCCAATTTCGGCCAGCGCTTTTCTTCTTACAAAAAATTGCTAATGTGCCTTACGAATTAATATTTTTAAATCAGTTGATTGCCAAAGAATTTTAAAAAAAGTCTAAAGTCGGGATCGAATACAGACTCAAACGTGGTAGTAGGCCGCGTCGCATCTTTGCCGGAGTTGACCCGTCCTCGGGGTGCGTGGAGCGGCAAGTAGAGAGCTCACCTACCCTTAAACCAGCACCACCTTAGACGCCACTACATACCGCTTTTTGCAGTTTCCGAAGTCTCCCTTTTCTATGCTTGCAATTTAGGTCATGTGGTGATTGACGAATTTTAATGATTTGCAAAGAATCGGTGAGAATTAAGAATGTGGTTCACCCTTTGTTGCCCATTTCTCGTTTCTTCGGTCACTTTTCTTGACATTAAGAAACCTCTTACCATTGTCAGCCTTTCAAAATTAATCTAAATGCATATCATCGGTTCGTTCAAGCTATAGATTAAAATGTCTTTTTGTTCTACCCTTCCCGACTTATAAAAGTGGGGTGCAAATAATAATCATTCAGTAGCCTTTCTAATATTGTTGCGCAGTAAACTTCATTCAGAAATGAAGGGAAATTCATTAACTAAATGCCAAAGCATTAGCAGGTCAATTTACAGAAAAAACATGGCAGCAACTACCAGATTTGCCTCGATCAACCTCACTATCCGTCCTCTAGCCAACAATCTTAAAAGTAGGTGTCCAAGATGACGGTAAATGAAAGCGTGGCTTAACTAATTTTATTTGCTATTTCTGTTGGCCAACCTTATATGGGCGAATGAGCTTGAAATAACCCAATCCTTAAAATGTAAATGCTCACGGGTCAGCGAATTAATGCCTCTAGTGCTGTGTCGTCACCATCGTCGGTTTTGCCTCTAACATGGGCAACTTACGTGCGATTGATAAAGTGGCAGTTTAAAAACTGCTTTTTGTTAGAATGATGACGGTGAATGCCTTCAAACATTGGTAGGTGCGTGTGTTGAAAGCAATTCACCGCTGAAGCAAAGGGCAGCTGTTGAGCAGCGGCAGATACTGCAACGAATGTTCAATTTTAAGACTTCAAATCAAACTGAACTAAATTTTGAAAATAAATCACATAATCTTAAAATGCGCTTAAATTAAAGTGACCTTGAATGAATGATTTCCAATGGTGTAACACCTTTAATTTAACCCCTGACTTTGATTTAACTCCATTCCATTGGAGATAACTAGTCGTAAGTGGATATTCTAGACGGATAAGTGGTAGTAGAATGAAAGTAGACTGATTCGTTGCAAAGTAAATTGGGCGCTGGTATTGTTACTCAGTTTTGTGGTGATTTAGTCCATGAAATAAATCTGATTGCATGCTGAAAGGAAAAGCACTCTACGAGATGGTAACCGCAATGTCTACTGTACCTCGTTCGATAGTCGGTCAGCAACCTATAGTGAATCTATTCGAGGACCTTAGAGCACGGCAAAATGGATACCCCCATAGGGGTGGGGGGAGGAATGCAATGAGAGCTGCGAAAGTGGTCTGAAAATGTAATGACAGCAGAACAAAGTGGACATAAACAGGAGGAATGGGTGTGCCTATTTGTGTCTGCAAAAATGCGTTTATTTGTATGCGTTCGCTTCGTGCGCATAGGTGCATGTGGACGCATGAGTCTGATCGGCACCTCCGGGTTGTGAAAATCACTTTGCTTACCCCGCGGCACCACCTGTGCCACTTCATGGTACGATTTCACCCGGTTTCACATCTCCGCCATCATCATCCCGGAGCTCTTGGCACAATCGTCTAGCCATTTAAGCAGCCATACTGACATCTTCGTGTGAATTGTCTAACAAAATGTCTGCACGTCGTCAGAGGAGGCCAAAACTAAGTCACTGCTTCAGGTACTTTCAGTCATTCATCGAATTCGCTTATAGGCTTATCTCAAATCGTCCGTGAGAATGATTAACACCGAAAGCAATTCGCACAAAAGTTGGAGGGTGAGCGTATCGAAAGATATGCGAAAAGGGGTGCTCACTAACTTTATCTGCACCGCAATTCCCCAAATCAGACACACCAGTAGGCATCGAAGCAGCAGCAGCACCAGCGTGGAGGACATCGACAGCTCTGCTAAAAGACCGCCCCGCAGTATTGACTTCTTCATCGACACGCAATTTAAATGCGTGAGGTCATGGTCGTTTGAGAGAGAGGGAGAAGTGGAACTGATCTTGCTAAACACTTACGTCAACCCTGGATACGTGGCGCATGAAAGAGTACAGAGTTCCTATCCTTTCTGCTTCTCTAAAGAATAATGGTTGCCTGATTTACCATCCTCACATCATTATGGTAATCCAAAATGTCAAGAAAACGCTTCTTTCCAATATTATCTACTGGGGCACGCAGAGGGTGTTTCACTTCACTACCTAACTTGGTGAGAAAATTCATGACTTCTACTAGGTGTCACTGTCAGTTGAGAGTTATAAGCCGAATGCTTGATTCGCAGGGTACAAAGGTATGCTTTGTAGTTGGCGAGATACTTGTCAGTCAAAATCAAAATCATGTGTGGGTGCTTTTTGGATCTGTAAAAGGCAACAAGATGCATCGCCGGTGACATTCAAGTGAAAGGCTTTATGGAGTTGTCATAATTTATTGGCATTACTCATTTTTACCTTTTATTTGAAGCTTATTCTTCTTCACGACTTCTGCCAGAGTGACGTAGAGTATTATTCACTGATAAAAGCCGACGTGTTAAACTTTTGATCCTCCCTTCACACATTTCACGTGCAGCTAAAATGTGCAACGTGTTATTAAAAGTAGCCGAATTAATCGCCACGACACCAATGGCACCAGGCGCATTCAGGCGATAAAGAATGAACCAATGAACAGGTCAAATCGGCGAGGTCATTCGTTGTCATTCCACAACAAACAGGCGGGCTTAATTAATGCGAGTGTTAGTCCGTTGTCAGAACTACAGAGTCATTTGAAAACGCATTCGACGACTGTCATGGTTAAAAATGGGTTTCAGGTCGGCTAACATCCTTTCAACGTGATGTTGATAGCGTTGTGTGCCTAGTTCAGTGTGTTTACTTTTCAGTACCGAGTCAATGTAAACAGTACCTTCGTATCGGTGGTGAAGTATCTCGGCAAAAGAGGCGAGATATTCGGAAATAAGCCGATGTGGTGAGGCTCCACCAAGCCGGACCCTCTAGATCGTAGCATTTTAAAGCACGGTGCTCACTTACTCCTATGCAAACACATCAACAATTGCCTTTGAAGGACCTAGAATGCGTCAAGCTGTGGTGTTTCAAGTAGAATGCGGTTGCTAAAATCGCGCTGAGTGCAAAAAGCGAAGGTTAAATTAGCAGTTTCGCCACTCAGCGTCACCTGCTGCCACAGTGGCACACGTAGACGTTGAACTGAAGAGCCACGTGCTTCGAAATTCACCACCGGTAGCCAATAACAGATCGCTGCCTATTCAAGTAGTCTTTTTGACGAAATGGTTGCCACTATCGCAGTCACTTAAGGAATACCTCACCCGCTTTAAGTGACTTCAAGAAACGAACGAGAGTGAGTTGTAAATTAAAAGCGTGTCTATTAGCCACCGGAATTGCCACTAATGCGATAATGTCAATCGAGCAACAAGTTTAACGCAATTTGGAACAGACAGGCAGATTGGATGTCGTAAAATGGGTGGATTTTTAGGACTTGACGAATAAATAATCCCAAAGATCTATTCACTTAGTACCATTCTACACGGACAGTAGGATGAAGATGAGACCTACTTCTTACCACCACTCCTTTCCTGGACAGCAGCCTTCCAAGACTGCTTTCGGTCAGTGACAATGATGAGTAAATTTTGGGGCAGTTAATGGGTGATTTCCAAGTTGCATTGAATAGAGAAACAGTTAATATGTAGCCTGCAAGGTGATACTTCTCTTCACAACCCATCATTGTGAATGATATCCATTTATTTGACGAGGGCATGGACTACCTCATGACCAGAACAAGCCATATGGCTATTTAGCTTTAATTAAGAGAAAAGAAGCTTAGTCTTCCCATTATCTGACGAAAAAAACGTACCAGACAAATGAATTCGCCTTTTAAGTAATTAAATCAGTAAAGTGTTGAATTGAGCGAATGGTGCACCGACAAGATGATGATGTGCGCGCACCGACTTAGATCCCCCAATACCCGATGAAAGCCACCTCCTCAGCATTGATCTTTCTGTCGAGTAGAAAATGATGAGATAAATACGCAAAGCATGGATTTATACAAAATGTAAAATTAACAGCTAACTATAATGCCTTCTGATGGAGTGTATAAGTATATGTACAGATATTGGGTTCTCTCCGAGAAGAAATCAGCCAAATTTATGCGACAAGCAGAGGCCTGGGAAGGTGGAAAGGCGATAAAGAAGGATGGGTATTCTTTCTCTTATAAAATGGAGGAAAAAATCACTGTAAATAGTGGTGTGTGAGGGAATGAAGGTGAAAATATAGAGGACGGAGGAGAGGAAGAAAATGTATCACAAATCGTCGGTCATGGTGGAAAGAGGCCTTGAAAACGGCTTAGAAGGGACTCTGCTTGGCAAAGGATCCGTCGGGCAACGGTATACGGCCTCCACCACTGTTAGTGTATTGAATTTGAGGTGGCGCAAATACGCCCTCTGAGGACACAAAAGGCGGAACTGGAGGGAATTGCGGTGCAGGAAGCGTGCTGTCCACTACCAGACTTCGCGCAGTGGCGCTACTACCACCGGCTGGAGACCGTTGAAAGACCGAGGACGTTGCTACAGTAGATGACGAGGGTGAGGAATGACGCTGAGTAGTCGGAATAGTAGCGGTGGTATTGGGGAACTTATTGGAAAGACTGGGATCTTCGGGTGGTTGGTAACGGCGTATCGGGAATACGGAAGGATGCTGAGGGCGTACGTAGTTCTGTTGAGATGGTTCAGGATAGACGGAGTGTGGGTCGAAGCCAGTGTTAAACAGGGGTTGGTGGCAGTTGGGCTGTTGATATCGATCGGACAGGTGCATCACTCCCTGATCCGAGGAAAGGGGATCTGGCATGGAGAAGGGAGACTCGTGAACGGCTTCCAGGCTATTGGAGAGCTTCAGTGACGGGCAGCGATATGTGTTGGGAACGCACTGATGCGTTGGCATGAGCTGACCCAAGCATTCTGTCCCTTTGTGTACTTCGTACATTGTGTTCTGTGGCTGATGCTGCTGAGGCGGCGGTCGTTGTGGACACTGTTGGTGATACGGTGCATTGTAGCCGTCGTGTAACGCTGCATCCAACAAATGCTCCATGGTTTGATGCAAAAACTAAAAGTATAGGGAGTTTTTTAAGCAAAATATCTCAAACTGGTCACAACTTATTTGATGCTTAAAAAAATACCTCCGGTTTGCAGTTGGTCTCGAGCCACGTAATAATTTGATCTGATAGTTCTGGCAGAGCCGATGCAGAAACGGTGGAGTCAAAGGAAATAAAAAGGCTCTCCATAAACATTTGAAAAAGATTTAATTTGAACTGGTCTGTAATTACGGCGTCCTGAGTTTCAGTTGCGTAAGTTGTAGTGCTAGACATACGCTCATAGCTCCTACAAAAATTACCAGTCAGTATGCTAATTTATAAAACTTGCGACTTGAGAATCTGAAGTGCCTGAACTTTCTTTCGAAGGGTTTCAATTTCCAGTCGCTTATGAGTTTGAATCTTTGATGCTTTTAAAATCATGGAAATGGCTAGAGAGAGTAAAGTGACAGAAAAAAATAGTACATCGATTAAGAACAGTGGCTTTGCTCATTCTAAAGTGCGAGTTTGCGGCACCCGTTTTAGCTGGAGGAATAAGTTCCAGCAAACTATCAAAGCCACGCTAAAAGCAGTAAAGTTGTAGAGCCTATCAAACCTTGATCGCATCACGACGGCGCTGTTCTGCTTCGGTGTGAAGTTTTCTTCGACGAGCACGAACATCAACTGCAAAACTAGAATCAGTCATACTGTCTGATACGTCCATCGAATCAAAAGACGGCTCCAAATTGGTCCGATCTAGATTATCAATTGCCGCACAAGAAGCCCCAGCTAGCACACAGCGCTATAATTCTCGTTGGACAACCAAGTACATTTAAAAACGGCGCATTTTCGTACTAAATAGAATAAGAAACCTCAATAACACTTCAAAGATTAGTCTGAACACAAGATTGATGCAAAATTGTTAAAATTTGACATTTTGCTGCTTAGTGGTAACTATTGCTACCTGTCACGTGCTTCAACTTTACTTAGTGGGTAACCCATGAAAAGGCCTTTGAACTTCTCAATATTCTACATTGCATCATTGATAGTGACAGCATGCATGTACTCCTCTTGAATTATTAGTCTAAACTTGTATACCACTGGATTCTAATTGTTTTGTGTTCTTTTCAATGATATTGCTTCAATTTAGTGGTACCCTTGCCAATTGTGTGTGTTGGGTGAACTAGCCACAATGCTTTGGTATCTATTTTAACCCTGTGTTCAATTACCCTAGCATTAAGTCTCCGCAAACTGTGCTTTCTTTTGGCGGCAAGGTCATGTCACTGACACCAGCTCTTCTTACCGCCGCGTTACCACAAGTTCTTAAGACTTCGGAGACTACTATGGGTCCCACACTGGTAACCCCAATCCATTCTATCCAACTTCGATTGCTCTACGAAATTTGCATTTGTGATCATGCTTTCAATATGTATCACTGTCAAATCATTCCTTATTCCCAAATCTGTTACGTAGCTTCTTGTTTCATCCCTAAAACCGTGGTAAACCAGACCAAAAGGGAGGATTTATTGCCAACGCTGCCTGGAAGAATATACAAGCCGCAGAGATCGAAGAGTCCACATAGTCGGATGCTCTTTTAAAACAAAACCAAATCGGCATAGTGGCTATTTACAATAGATTTTGCGAAATTATTTTGCAGTTAAGACCGGTAGTAGTATTTAGCTGTTAACATTTTTTGCTAAAGTGGCACTGATCTTAAAGGAATCCACTGACCTATGAAACCGGAATTGGTATCAGTCATTACAAATGATAATGCTTCATTGATGAGTGCACTAATTAGGGTGCAGTCAAAATCATCACAAAGTTCCTTAATAGCATAATTTTTCACTAGGCCTCAGAGTGCTCTTGCACTGCGTGCAGCCAATTACATCATCGTTTGTCATAAAGGACTGCCAAAACCTCGCTTTATAACTCATGGTCATCTACGTCGGACATACGGTTACGTTTTGTCAGGTGGAATTGAACTTGTTCTCAGGTGATAAAGACGTCCTGAGCAGTCTGACTGGTTTACATGGACGAGACCCAGTTTCCACCCTGTATACAGTGTTGTTTGGCTTTAGTACCGTCTTCCATAATGGAATGCATTCTTAGGTATGACTTTTGCTAAGGCTTCAGACTGGCATCGTTATAGGTGCACTCGTATCCTGTCACTTAACCTTCGGTTAGTGAGGAAATTAATATTATATTCGGTTTCCAATTGTTGACTTAGAAATTATTGTTAGTGTTTGTATCCCTATACCACTTCCCTTAATGTCGCATTCGATCGGAACATATCCAACATTCCTGTTATGAAGGTCTCTTCAGATTATAGGCTTGACCAACTTGAAGCTACATAATCGAAGCCTCTGTGATTCACCTACCACTTCTTAAAATGGGGTCTAATGAAATGCTACCGACCACATTTTATTAGGTGTAGTTAAAAGATGTGTGTCATTTATATCTTAATGGTGTTTGAGGGCGCCACTGAAAATTGAAAAGTAAGTGTAAATCATTATGTTCGAAATCCCTGCTTTTACCATATGCAGCTGAAGGCATTCTACTTTCTTGATACCTCGCGTCAAATAAATCAGTAGTTCTCGCCTAGAAGAATCCTGGCACTACCTCCCAGTCTTTCGCCTCTAGATTAATATCGACCCCGTTCCATTTATTTTCCCTCCTCTACACTTCTGCAAATCAAAACGAGTCCATTTATCTGTCCGTCAAAATGCGCCTGCTATTGCTTTCAGCCGCCTTTACGCTTCCCAAAGAAGTAAATGATCTCCCAATCTGGTGTACTTAGATAGCATCTCTAAGTGAACTAGACTACACAAAAATTTGGAACTCTTTCGTCAGCTTTACCTCACCGATCTGAAGGAACTCTTTTTAACCGTCTTCGCTGCGGCACATATCTATGGCGCATCCTGTCCTGATATGGATCTCACCATTGGAGCTCAGCTGTATCACATCAATGTCATTCTTGTCTCCATTGGCAAGGACCCGCTCTGGAGAGGATATTTTGCGCATTTTGGTGGGTGCCTTGCCTTACCTATCGTGCGCTCCTCCCCACACGTCTAACCTGACTCGATTTCATTGTTAAAGAGTACTTTTTCCTTTTCTTTTCCCCGTAGTTCATTGCCTTCATTTACACATTTAATCATGGTTGCTTTATTACAACCAGAATGCGTAAAATTTGCCACCATTCCCTAACCTTCCTCGCTATGGAATACCTGACTCTGCGTGCT